GATCTTGATAGTTAGAAAGAATGGTGGCCAAGCAACGAGGTGTTCTACTGCCTTAAAATAACATTAATTCAATGCCACACCCTTTGAATATTAATATTGTTCAAGAGCCTTATCCAGCTGGGTTCAAAATGCCCCAATTCGAGACATATGATGGAGCTAAAAAGCCAGATGATCACTAGCATGCTTTTTACTCTTGCATGCAGGCTCAGAATGCCTCAGATGCTTTGATGTACAAAATATTTCACTTAACACTTTGTGGCAATACTCAGACATGGTATTGTAGTCAACCACCAAGATCCATTAGTTTTTCTATTAAAATGGTCATTGCTTCAATTATAAAATTTTCCAATAGAAGATTAATAAAGAAGATGACACATGTGCTCATGAGAGTAAAACAACACGAGGGAGAATCTTTGAAGAATTACATGAACAGGTTTAATGATGCAATTCTTAAGGTTAGTTCTTTTGATAAGGCAATTGGGATTGCTGTGGCAGTTAGGATTGCTGCCATAATCTAAGGCCTTAATCATGAACAGTTCCGACATAACTTAATCAAACACCCATCTACTACCTTTGACAAAGTCAATGATAGATCTCAGAAGTTTATCATGATTGAGGAATATGCCTTATCTCAGAGGTTAACATCAATTAAAGATAATTAAAGTCCAGCCTAAAAGGAAAGGGTCAAAGTGGGAAGAAGATAAAAGGAGCTCAAAATCGAGGACTACTCCCTGTGCCTAAGTTTGGCACGTTGAAGTCAACAACTTTTTAGGCTTCACCTGCAAAGCTGCCAACACATGGACTCCTTTCACTTTACCGAGGTCATAGATCTTTATGCAAAATAAGAACAAAATGAAGTTGAAGAGGCTAGCCCCAATATAGAGTTCAACTGCCACATAGGATTAGATGAGATATTGTGATTTTCACCAAGACCATGGCCATACAACAAAGGAGTGTAATAGCTTGAAAGGCTGGCTTGAAAAGGAATGTTGAATGAGTATATCTTAAATAAGGACCGACCTAAATTTGTAAGAGAGCAAGGACAACAACCCTAAGGACCTCAAAACACAAACAACAAAGATAGAGTAAGGTATCAACAAGTTTCACGACCTCTTCCGCCTTCAATTAAGATCATTCACATGATAACCGATGGATTTAAAGCAAGAGGATTAAGCTCAGAGCAATAGAAGTTATATGTTAGAGAGGTCAAGCATTAGAGCTGAGCTCAAAAAAGGAAGTTTGATGATGCATATTAAATGATATTGTTACACCACACAATGATCCACTAGTTACCTTTATCATAGTCAACAATTGTGAGATCCAACGTGTCCTCATTAACACTAGGAGTGCACCTAATGTAATGTATTATCACTATTTTGAGAGTCTTGGCCTTGATCCAACTTTGCTACAGAAGTACGATGGCTCAATTTATGGATTTAACAACCAACCAGTTCTAGTTGAGGCAATGCTTATGCTCAATGTAGCATTTAATGGAGGTCAAACCTATGTCACCCCTTTAGTTTGGTTCTTGGTTGTGAAGATGGCCTCATATTTTAATGTTGTTATTAGCCAACCTACCTTAATAGAAATCCAAGCTGTGGTGCCACAATCCTACCTGTGCATGAAGTTCCCAACACTAATCAAGGTAGTAACATTGAAAGGTAATCAAGAAATAGCCAAACATTGCTATATGACATCAGTTATACAGCCTCAAAAGAGCAAAGAAACGAGTCAGATGTCAGAATCTCAAGCCCCAAATGTCAGTAAGTGATGGAAGTAGAACTAATTGACAACTGACCTGAAGATGATGTCAGAGCTGCCCTAGTCACGGAGGTAAAAGAGGTATAGATTGATGATAATGACCCAACAAGGAAAATTTAAATCGAAACCAAGCTGAATTCAAAGGAAAGATAAGATTTGATTGTTTTCCTCCAACTAAATAAAAATGTTTTTGTGTGGACTTCAACTAATATGCTAGGGATCTCGACCTCAATAGCCATGCACAAGTTGAACACTAACCCTTTGAAAAAGCCAATAGCTAAAAAAAGGCATCTTTTTAGAGGTGAAAGGCTTCAGGTCATTAAGGAAGAGGTGGAGAAGCTTTTATAAGCTAGGTTCATAAGAAAAATGGACTATGGTGAATGGGTGGCAAATCGAGTCCTGGTTAAAAAGTCCAATGACAAGTGGAGGATGTGTATTAACTATACCAATCTCAATGTAGCTTGTCCAAAGAACTACTACCCAATGCTGAACATAGAAAAGCTGGTCAAAGTCACCTCCAGAAATGAGAGATTAAGCCTTTTGAATGCTTCCTCAAGCTATCACCAAGTCCTTATGGGCTTAAAAGATGAAGTAAAAACCTCCTTCTATGTAGGTGATAAAATTTACTACTATGTGATGATGTCTTCTAGGCTAAAAAATATAAAGGGTATATATCGGAGGATGGTGACCATATTATTTTGAGCTTAGATAGGCAGGAATTTGAAAGTCTATGTAGATGACATTGTGGTTAAAAGCCTCAAGGTAGAAGATCACTTGACCGACTTGCAGGAGTTGTTTGACAACTTAAGGAAGAATAGAATAAGGTTGAACCATGCCAAGTGTATCTTCTGTGTTGAATAAGGCAACTCTTGCATTTGTTACCTCAGTTCAATAGTTAAGGATATACTTCCAATCTCATCCCATTGTTATCCTTACAGATCAACCTCTTAGAAAAATCCTATAGAAGCTTGAGTGTTCAAGCAGATTAATTAAGTGGGCAGTTAAACTAAGAGAATTTGAAAAAACATTTCAACAGAGATTAGTAATTTGAGCTCAAGCATTAACAAATTTTGTTATCGAGTGCACTTCTAACCTACTAAATCTCATTCTTGAAGTGGATACCTGGAAGCTATATCTTGATGGGGCATCAAATTGTAAAGGTTCGAAAGCTAGGGTTGTGTTGATAAGCCTAAATGGGTTTTGAAGTAAGCATGCCTTGAACTTTAATTTTGAAACAACGAATAATATGGCTGAGTGTAAAGCCTTATAGAACTTAATGTCAAAGCCATCCAGACCTACAACAACTCGCAACTTGTGGTGAATCAAGTAAACCCATTATGTAAGGTCATTAATTAATGAACTTAATGTCAGTCTATGTTGAAGTCCTCAATGAGCCAAGCTTCCAAACACCAAGGTTAATGGCGATCAATACAGACCTGAATCCTCTAAGCTAGACAGACCCAATCAAATCTTATTTATAAGATGGCTCAATTCCCAATGACAAAAAAGAGGAGATGAGATTGAGAAGAAAGGCATCTTGATACACTCTTATTGATGGAATTCTTTATAAGAGATCCTTTTTGCTCCCTTAACTTCGGTGTTTAACACCTTATAAGGTTGAATATGCTTTTTGCAAGGTGCATAAAGGTGTATGTGGAAGCCATGTGGGTGCTAGGACATTGGCTCACAAAGTGCTCAAGCAAGGATATTATTGGTCAAATATGTAAAAAGATGCCAAGGAATTTGTGTAGCGATATTTGAAGTGCTAATTCTTTGCACATTTAACTCACCAGCTAGTTGAAGAGCTCACCAATTTGGTAGCACCATGGCCATTTGCCTAGTGGAGGCTTGACCTTTTAAGCTAGTTTGTGAAAGGTGTTGGGGAGTAATGCACTTGGTAGTTGGTGTGGACTACTTCACGAAATAGGTATAAGCTCGGCCCTTATCTAGTTTCACTTCAAAGAAGATGGAAAACTTGGAGTTCAACTCAATCATATGTAGATATAAAATCACAAATGTGATTGTTGCTGACAATGGAACCTAATTCAACTGTCCCTCGTTTAAAGATTTCTACTTTAGTTATGGGATCAAGTTGCAATTCACCTCAATTTATCATCCCAAAGCCAATAGGATGGTAAGATCAATTAACAAAGAAATTCTAGAAGGAATCAAGTCAAGGTTGGAGCAATACAAGGCCAAATAGGTAGACAAGCTCAACAATGTTCTATAGGCATACAAAACAGCAAGTTGAAATACTATAGGTATTAACTCTTGATCTCATCATTATTCATTTCATCTCATTCCTTTTTCTCTTCTGTTTTGCTTCAACTTTTTCTAGTTCACTTTAACTGTAGCTCAACATACATAAAATGTAAAGAAAATGCTAAAACGATCACTCATTTAAATAGGTGAAACACCCTACAACTTAGCCTTTGGAACTGAAGCAATCATTCGTATTGAAATAAGAGTCCCGAGCTTAATGGTCAGCCATTTCAATGAGGCATGACACGGATAACTATTTCGAGAAAACCTTGACCTTCTTAACAAAGTTCGAGAAAAGTTTGACTTCAAACTTTATCCTACAAGCAGAAATTAACCAACTTTTACAATAAATGAGTTCAACCTTGAACTATCAAAGTTGGCGACCTTGTCCTTAGGAAAGTTGTGCTTATTGGATTTGAAACTGGTTTAAGTACCATTTTTGTCCCTCAACTTTTCACTTTGGCACCAAAATTGTCCCTTAACTTTAAAAAATACCAAATTTATCCTTAAACTTTTATTTTCGATACTAAAACGATCCTTCCGTCAATTAAATGATAGGTGACATGTTAATTTACCAAAAAATCAATTCTTTTTTTGCTTAACTCATGGAAAAAAAAAGTATAGTTGGCCATCGTTTTTATGAGTTGGCATTTTCATTTAATTTAAAATTAATAATTTCTTCTTCTTTTTTTTTACCCATGTCATATTTCTTCTTCCTCTTTCATTTTCTCTCTCCTTTACCTTTCTTTTTCCCTTACCTTTGCAAACCCATATCTGGGTTCTCTCTCTCAAACTTCATCTTCTTCCTCCTTTCCTCCTCCGTGCTCATCCTTCTTCTTTCTTCTTCTTATTCTCTCTCTCTCTTCTCCCTTCTTCTTCCTCTCTCAAACCCAGATCTAGGTTTTTCTCAAACCTAGATCTGGGTTTCAAGACATAAATTAGCATATGAAGAAGTTGGTGATAATAAGAAAAGCAATACGAATCATTCCATTATATTAAATATAAGCAACAAAGCCATTTTCCAATCTCACCTATGGTAAAGTAAAAAAAAAAGGAAAACACCTGAAGATCTAATAAACTACTAACAAAGTTAATACCAAAAACTACAAAATTTGATGAATCTCCAACTTCAAATTCTAAACAAAAAGAACCCAAATCCGATCACTAAAAGTAGAGCTTCGACTCAAGCTTATCTCCTCAAATTCATAAACCCAAAGAAGGAAACACGGAAATAGAGCAAGATCTTCAAACACAGTGGAAGAATTTTACCAGTCTCAATAACCAGAGTGAAACATGAGTTCTTTCTCTTCTCAAAAGCCTTGAGATTCAAATACCCAGCAAGAATGTGCACCAATCTTGCTCCCCCACCACCAACAACTGATACCTATGCTTCCTTTCTTGAAAAGTATTGCATAAACTCAACATCGTTCTCCAGTCTGACCATCATCTCCAACGCTAAGACAACCTCCAAATCAATGACTTTGTTTCCTTCCCTCACAGGAAAGGCTGAGATCTTGCCATAGAACTTCTTGGCTTTGTGGAGCAGATCTACTCCCTAGCTCAAATCCCGAGAGAGAACTCCCCTGCTAGAGCAATTGTTAGAATGCTCTATATCGTGTTCCCAAAGTAGAACGCGTCCAGCCGTGGCTTAAGCCTGGGCCTACAATTCACAGCCATTTCTAAACATCGTCATTTTGGAAGGATCATGAAATAGAAAACATGCATCTTTCTACCAAATGGGTAATTGCTAGGAAAATCTAAACTTGGGTTTTGTAGATCAAATGGAAAATCAACAAGAGAGAGAATAAGAAGATGATGAAGTTTGAGAGAGAACCCAGGTCTGGGTTTGTAGAGATAAGAGAAAATGAAAGAGGAAGAAGAAATCTGATGTGGGTGAAAAAAAAAATTATTATTTTTAAATTAAATGAAAATGCCAACTCAAAAAAAAAAATGATGGTTTTTTTTTTTCCATGTCATTAGTTAAGCAAAAAAAAGAATTGATTTGCTGACAAGTTAATGTACCACCTACCATTTAACTAACGAAAAGACCATTTTCGTATCGAAAATAAAAGTTTAAGGATAAATTTGATACATTTTAAAGTTAAGGGACAATTTTGGTGCCAAATTGAAAAGTTGAGGGACCAAAATGGTACTTAAACCATTTGAAACCCATTTTGGAAATCTCATCTCAAACTGAGAAGTCCCTTATACAATCATTGAAAATCCTTGGTGCTTACATTCTTCAAGACGTAAAGGGTAGAAGAGTTTCTAGGGTTTGGAATGTAAATAATCTAAAGAAATTTTTACCCTTGAAATTATTTTAATCTAATTCTGCTAAACATAACATTTAGTTCATTCTTTTATACTTACTGATTAATTCATGAATTCCTTTGTACTTATCGATCGACTCACAAATTCAAGATTTCAATTCACACCATTGATCTTTTATGTTCAACCTTAATTTAAATTTTAGTTTGAAATTTCTTTTATATCCATTCCATAATCTTATCTTTTCCTATCTAAACCAAAACATTTCAATCTATAAAGCATTAATGAATAATTCAAACTATTAATCAAACATAAAAAATTAAAATACAAAAGATGAAATTTTATACAAATTGTAGCAATGCAAAACTTAAATCAAGTTTCAAAATAAGTAATTCAAACAGAGTTATTCTATCAATTAGTGTTGTTACTCTAGTTCGTTATTCTACACATTATTAGCAACAATTGGGCCACCGACCTCCTTTACCATGTCCTCATCAACAACGATGAATTCATACTCATACCTAAAAGGGAACACAATTCAACCAGACTTGTCTTTATCTCACTTGAGCGTAACTTCAAAATAGAACTTAGTCATCTTAATTTCACCATCCTCTTTAACTCTTTCTTCTTAAGGTCCGAAGGTTATGCTAATTACATCCACCTCGAGATGCTGGGCTATACCTTCTTCCTATAGTAATAACCATTGTGGGAAGGTAGTAAAGATTAACTATGTTGCTAAAGATGGTAGATTTGAGAAACTCATATATGTATTTCCCTATACCAATGTGGACCTGCAGCTCAACATCTCATTAAAATTCCTCTTTTTTCTCCTTCATCTTAGCAATTTAGTTGTCCTTTTAGGACAACTTCTCCTTGTAAATCCTCCCCTTCCAATCCATGAGCTCAGTAGCCCTCTTGAGAGTTGCCATCTTGTCTCTGAGTTCATTGAGCTCGGATGCCTAACTTTCAAAATTTTTATTAGCTTTTTCATTCTGTTTGTTAAGATCTTCTTTCTTCCTTAATAATTTTGTCTTATCTCACCTCAAAAATGTGGCGGACAACACCAGCTCCACCATGAAGATTTACCTCATCCTTAGCCAGAGTTAGATCTATATCTAGAAAAGTGGGGTCAATAAATCGCCTAACAGTTTTCCTACTAGAAGAATTCATGAAGTTGTAACCTTCAAGATAGTAGAGACGGGGTGGGAAACTTTTTCCCCATCCAAGGGTTACAACCCCAACATCCCTCGCAATAAGAGTTGCTACCTTAAGAATACAAGGTACAAACTTTGTCACTTCCTCCCTCCACTATTGCTACTATTCCCCCAACTAATGTCGTTTTTATACAGCAACCTCCTTCTTAACCCTTTTTCAGACAAGCTCAACAACTGTCCTTACATATGAAGACATACGAGTCCTAGCTACTGGATCTCAAGTTGAAGTAACAACCAGTTGAGGTGTAGACCTCCTACCCCTAACTCTCTCTTCCACCTCGTCAACTCTGGGTGCTTTTGATTTCTTCATGAGGGGTACAGCAATCCCAGTAGTCACCAATAAATGATTCATTTCAACTGTAAAACAAATGGAAATTAAAACTTTAATCCAAACATGCTCTCAAATAAAATGTGAAAAGTAATTATCCACAAGATGAACCAAGCTACTCTGCTTTCACCTCAAACACAACTGCATCTAGCACATCAAAACATCTTTCTCAATGGTTATCTACCTCTAGTATGGTGGGTGGAATATTAACCTCATCCATCTCATCCATATTAGTTTCAAACCCATAAGTTTCCACTTTTGTCTCATTCTTTTCACCATCCTAGCTAATTAGTTGTACCTCCTCACCTCCTCCAACACTCAAAGTCTCTTCAGATGACATATCTTTTGTTTCTAAACTTTCACTACAAAGGGTAAAGTTGGACAATAATCTAGGTCTTAAGCATATTCCATCTCACATTCAACCTCACTTTCAAATCTAACCCTAACTTCCTTAAAAGGACTTAAACCTAAGTCTAATAAGCTATGAGGTAAGTCAAACTCTAAGTTTAATCCAAAATCATAGCTCATGAAAACTTACTTGATTTTAGAATGCTGAATTGAAACACGAAGAAACTTAAAGTTGGATGCTTGAGTACAAAAACACGGGAGCTCGGACACTACTGTAGCTCTGGTGAAATTTCAACAACATTTTGGTAGCAAAGTAACAAAGTAACAAAAATTTACGTAACTATTTATAGTAGCACTTTAAAGGCCTCAAAGGTCATGATTAAACCCATCTAATGGATGAGATATCACGCTTTTGAATTCGATGGTTATTTCTTACAGCCACAATTTATTACAACACAGTCCCCGATAACAACTATTAGTTGACATGATAATCTCTTCTCAAACCAATCAAACATGCCTAGTTATGCCTAACTTAGAGTTTTTACAACAACTTCCAAAACCAATACAACTTAAATTTTCATGCTATGAATTTTTATATCAGCTACAACCCAAAACACATAACAATGTGTCATGAATTTTTATCTTGGCTATGACCAAAAACACATAACTACATGTCATGAATTTTTATTTGGGCTACAACAAACATATGACTACATGTCATGAATTTTTATCTTAGCTACGACCAAAAAAACATGACTGTGTCATGAATTTTTATCTCGACTATGGCTAAAAACACATGACTACACATCATGAATTTTTATCTCAGCTATAGCAAAAAAACACATAACTATAGATCATGAATTTTTATCTCAACTATGGCCAAAAACCTGTGACTACTCGTATTGCATTTTGTACTTTCATCACTACTCCAAATAGCTTCCTAACTTCATCATTCACAAGTGAATGACTTGAAGGGGGAAATAGTGTAAAAATAGGTCTAAGATCCGTGATCTTGAACATGTTATATGTATATTATCCAGATTTGTCACCTCCCCAAGCTAGGATTGAGCTCAAGTCATTTAACAATCAAGGTATGACCCAAGTTAAGCTCTTCACAATTGCATGATGGCTACAGTGAAAGCGCACCCATCTAATCCTCGTTCTTGAGACACCCACTTTTTTGGACATGTTAAAACTCGATTATTTCATTAAGAAGGCCACATGGATACCTAATTAAGACCTATAAATACCCCCAAGGGTCATTTACAACAAGTAATTGAAACTGACTTAAAGCTTTCATTCCCTTCTTTCTTTGAGTAGACCAAATTATTGCTGACTTAAGTATCGGAGTGTCTATCTCAATGACTAACATCGGGGCTTTGTAGGTCTATTCAAAGAGAAGACTTGGACTAGGAAGAACTCGAAGGTTTGTTGTCATTACACATTGTCACTCACCGAAGCTCTGTTAGGTGCAATTTTGACTTAAGTGACAATTACAATTCATACAACCAAATTTAAGAATACAAAACTACATCATTTAAGGTCTCCATCCACCTTAAATTTTTCAAGTCAGGCTGACACACTATAACCTCTTATTAAAATGGCTAAATTTAATAATAGTCAAGTAATTATAGACTCAATACCATTTTGGTAGAAGGTGCAATTGAGCCCTTGTACTTATAATATTATAGCATGTCAGGCCCTTTACTTCATATTGTGGCAAATCAGCCCTCAACTTTATGAAATCCTCAAAACAGCCTTTTTAGTAATGATGACATCATCCAATCATTAAACCACCCATTGCCTGTTAATATGTGATTAGTTGACGTTGATTGGGCAATGACATTGACTAAATTCACTCCATCTAACATCTTCCCCTTATTTAAGTTTGCACTCACTCTCACTCGAACTATATCATTCAGAACAGAACAAGTATTACTAATTTGTCTTGTTTATGGAGGGACGAAACTTAACCAAAATTTAAGGAGGGACCAAAAGTCCTTTTTTTTTTTTTCTATCACATGTAAATATTATATAATTATACCATATATAACACAAGAGATAACTCAACATGAAATATGAGATTATGAAATTGTAAATTATTTCAATTGTTCATGTTATAGGAGTTAATAGAAAAAATTTTAACTAATAATGAAATAATATAAGTTTGTAGTGTGATGAAATAAATTGTTACACAATTTTATTTATAATTTAATAACAATGAAATAAAATTATTTATTAACATAAAATAAGACATTATAAAATTAAATTATTTCATTTATAATGTGAGCATAACAGTCAATTTATAATCATATTTGATGGATATTTTCAAAAGTAAGAAATCAAATTGTTTTTTTAAACATAAAAAAGTAAAATTGTTTATTTCTTAAAAGATTATAAAAAATACAATACAAAATTAGAAAAAAAAAAAAACACAAATATAGGCTTGATAAATGAAACTTTAACTAACAATGAAACAGAAACCTCTATTATAAAGAGACGAACGAATAAGGGGATGAACAAAGTTTGGATTTAGAAATTTTAACTATCATTAGAGGTTTTAAAATTGTTCTTATGATTTTCATTTTAAAAATGATTGTTTATATATTTTTTAATGAACAAAAGAAAACAAAAGCATTTCATAGATCTATTTTCTTTTATCTTAAAAAAAACCTTTGGGTTAAACTTAAACTCTTAAATTATGTACTAAAATTTTAAAACCGAATATTTACTTATTTACTAAATTTAAATATTTATATATATTATAGTTTATTTACTAAATTTTTCATTAAAATATTTAAAAAGTACTCTCTCTATCCTGAAATAACTTTACTTTTTAATTTTTTTGTCAAATTAAGAATTGGGAAACAATATTTATACTTATCAATGATACCTTTAAAAAAGAAATAAAAGGCTAAAAATGATATTTTGTAATTCAATGATTAATTAAAGTGAATGGATAATAATAGAGTTAAAGTTGGAAAAAAAATATTTGTCTCCCTTGAAAAGTAAAAAAAAATAATTAATTTGAAATAAATTTAAAATTAGAAAACAAAAATTATTTTGAAATAAAATAGGTATTAATTTTTTTTCAAAAGGCAACAAGCATAGTCACTTAATATTTATAGTTTAAAACTTCTGTGGAGATACTCTAGCATCGTTGCATTGTCATTTGATGAGTGGCAGTTAGTTGATAGATGGTCTGGAGATATGGATCACTGGCATCCTTGACACATGTCTAAGAGAGAATTTGGTCCACCTAATCAGTGCCAACTCATCACATCTTAACGGGCAATGGATGATTTAATGATTGGATGATTTTATCTTTACTAAAAGGGTTGTTTTGAGGATTTCATGAAGTAGTTGATTTGCCATGATTTGAAGTAAAAGGGAGCACATGCCACAACATTGTAAGTACAGTGATTGAATTGCACCTTCTACCTACCATTTTAATCTAGAAACTACCTTTTTTGTACCATTTTTACCTATCCGTCCAACCACCGTTACTACTTGTTAACGAAATGCTATGTCATAAGACACGTGGCACTACATGACATCCCATGGTAGAAAAAGTAAGGACAAATTACATTTCAACTTTTAAACTTTGAAAAATATTTTAATAAGGTATGTTCAAAAAAATATATTTTAATAAGGTAGAGGAAAACCAAATACAAATATTTATTATTTACTAAAATTTTATTCATCTTATTATCATTCATGGAGTAAGTAATTTAATTACAAGCATTTAATTTAAAAAATTAGAAAAAATAATTATTTATAGGTAATTAATCAGATTAAAACTTTTATTAAAAAAATTAGATTATAACCCACAAAGAAGAAAATTAAGAAGATGTTAGACCTACAGGGAAAAGGCAGGAAGAGGACAAAAATGTCTTTTGATGCATTTTTATTATTATATCATTTTAGTATCCTTTCACAATTAGTAATTATTAATTAAACCCTTTATAGGCATAGAATTATATTCAAACTAAGAGTTTGGTGTTTTGCAATTTAGATTGTATTATACTACAAAATATCATGATTTGGATGGAGAGTACTCCCCCAATCTTAGCGGCCCTTTTTAATCCCATGGCTAGTGTTTGTAGTTCAATACAACCAAACTATAAAACTTTTTTTCATAAAACTATTTATACATAAGGTGCACTATTTTATAAGTTAAATTATTTTGAATTATAAAATATGATCGTTTGATGAAGGGTCTCAAACATCAAAGAGTCCTCCCCCCATCAAATGATTAATATTTTACAGTTCAAATTGTAAAACACTTTTTAGATATATATATATCTATATATATATATAGCCATTGTGACATGCTAACATGAATAATTGCGTATATGATGGTAAATTTGTTATTTTATTATATTTAGTTTTTCTCTATCTAATTCATGGACTTAGTAAAGTATTTTTAATAGTTTTAAAGTTAAAATACAGTTTATCCTTTTATTTAGGGCCATGTGTCTTATAATATGTAATTCCGTTAATAAGAACTAACTGTGGCTCAATAGGTAAACTAAAGCAATATAGAAATAAAAGTTTCTAGATCATTCAGGGAAAAAATTCAGTTTCTAAACTAAAATGATATTAAGTTAATAATTACTAGACTATTTCTTAAATTTAACCTTATAAAAATTATTAAAGTTTTCAATAAATGCTAAATAAATATCAAATGAGCTTTTTAAAAATTTTAATAAATACCAAATAAATACCCAATTGGCTTTTTAAAATCCAAATTCCAAACTCAATTATATTTTCAAAAGGTTAAATCTCCATTTTGATCCCTTTACTTTGATAAAAGCTCCTTTTTAGTCCTTTTATTTAAAAAAACCCCTTTTTGGTCCCTAAAGTTTGAAATCCAATCTTTTTTTAGTCTCTCCATTAGGTTTTGCATACATAACACGTTAGATAATGGAAAATTTCAAAGTATGACCAAAAAGAGGCTAAGAAGGGGTTAAAAATAGCCCAAATTCAGTCCCTCTATTTTGGAAAAAAGTCTCTTTTTGATCCCTCTCCTTTGCAATTTCTGTCATCTAATGTCAAAACTTAATAGAGAGACTAAAAGGGGATCAAATTTCAAACTTCAGGGATCAAAAAGGGATTTTTTAAAGTAAAGGGACTAAAAAGGAATTTTTTTACCAAAGTAAAGGGACCGAACTGGGGTTTTACCTTTTCAAAAAATAATATTTTCATAGGTATCTTTAATATTAAATTTTCAAAAATATATTATATTTTCAATAATAATTTTTTTGTGCACATCTTCAATTCTTCTTTTAATACAATTTTACTTCAATCTAACTCCAACTACTTCAATTATATTTCAATCTAAACTCAATTATATTTTCAAGAATAATATAATCTTTCCATATACATCTTGAATTC